GAATCTCTCTAATGTCTCCTAGGTCTATCTGTGGCCTCCTCCTGGTAGGCACCTCACACAGAAAGCACCCAGGAGGCATCTTAGGCAGATGCAAGAACCACCTTGTTGCAGTGCTATAGGGAAAACAAGTATTAACCATATTAACCTGCCTAAACATGTTTCATCGCCAACCTTTGGATCATCTCTGTATCAGGGACTTTCTCCTGGCAGCAAGCTAATGAAGCTGAGGCTTGTGTGTGATGCCTCGTCCCATCAGTAACCTAACTGTTCTCCACAGCACTTTGATGGCTCAAGCTTCCTGCCCATTGATCCATGACAGTTACATCCAGGTAGCTCACTGGAGCTCACTCTTCTGTGTGTGCTAGTGAAGGAGCTGATATTAACAGAATGATTCACAACCATCAGGTTCTGTGGAAGCCATTGCCCAGACTTTTATATGGCAACGGCTACAAGGAGTCACAAGTGAGAGCTGGGTGCAGTGGACAAAAACAGAAAGTACATCATGTTCCCCCATCTCTATTCTCTATAAACGCTCATGTATGTGACATGGTTGAAGCTACAGATCTGTTTCTATTAAAAAGGAAAAAGGCGTGACCGTCACCTCAAAGGACAGCTCGTCTGAGGCCTGGGCTGTGTAGCGCTTTATGACATGAGCAGCAGCAATCGCTGGAACATTGATGGACGATTCTTCGTGAACCAGCAGATGATTCCCCTTATTGTCCACCTGATGAAAACACAAACCCAAAACGTACATGTCAGGTTAACAGAAGCAGCCATCAGCTAACAAATGCTAATATAAGAGTGCTCTAAATATGTTTCTATTGGTGCTTCCAGACTGAAAATGTGTAAGGGTACAAAGACAACCTGCAGGGCTTAAGTTACAATTGATAGGAATAAATTAATACCTATGAATGTTTGAAGTCCCTGATAATATTTACTTTATCTATATCAATAAATACTAGATGGTTATGTGTAACTTCAGCAGTCCTTTAGTTAAATTATTCCTTTACAGGAAGTGTATTTACCTCCATCCACGTGAGGGCAGGCCCACAATTGATCTTGTTGTCAGCAATTGCTGAGAGCCGGGAGAGGTAAGCCAACAACATCTGGGAAACTGACTAAACATGGACAAAAACACAGAGAGCAGTTAGTGTCATTACATTTACTTCACAATAGTGCCATTTACTAGTGCAACAATTCATTACAAACACAGTAAATTTCAAAGTCTGCTGCCAAAACAAGTCATTATAGTTAAACATCCCTTTTAATGGTTTAAAGTCTGCTTGCTTTTGCTATGTGTTCACAAAGGCAGCACATTTTCCAGCTAATGATGAGGTCTGCATAATAGCACACAAACAACTTGAAATGACTTTAGCTCTGACCTAATGTTACAAGGGATATTTAGCTTTATAGTTTCTGGTACCACAATTCCCCAAATTGAGACATTATAAAACAGTAAAACTTTGATCAGCAGAATGTTTGAGATCAAAGTTCTGTCATGTAAAAACCATGTAAACCACGGCTTCCTACTATCGATATTAATGCCTCATGACAATGAATTCGAAGGGCGATCGTGGCTCAAAGAGTTGGCAGTTCGTCTTGTAACCAGAAGGTTGCCGGTTCGAGCCCCGGCTCGGACAGTCTCGGTCGTTGTGTCCTTGGGCAAGACACTTCACCTGCTGCCTACTGGTGATGGCCAGAGGGGCCGATGGTGCGATATGGCAGCCTCGCTTCTGTCAGTCTGCGCCAGGGCAGCTGTGGCTACAACTGTAGCTGCCTCCACCAGCGTGTGAATGTGAGAGTGAATGAATAGTGGAATTGTAAAGCGCTATATAAATGCAATCCATCATCATTATTATTATTATTCCCTGATCTAAGCTTGAGTCTGGCTCAGAATACTGATAAAAGTCTGTAACAGCAAGACTACAAATCACTTTGGGATTTAAGCCATACAGGTTTCCACAAATATACAGTTTCTGCATACATAATGTAAAAATAATAAGCCTTGAAGGTATTGATCAAAATAAGGCACTGATTTTGCTCACAGTCCCAGGATGCTCCAATACCTCAGACTGATCAGTCAGACTGTCCAATCGAGGCAGCTCAGGCAGCTGTGAGAAGCGTCGGTCGTAGATGCAGAGGTGCAGGTGTTTGTCCAGGACACGAAAATCCTCATAGCTGCGCTTCACAATCCAACTTCGACCCTTCGGAACAATGCAAGCGTAACCGCCAAAAAGAAGAGAGAACACAAACAGTTGACTGAAGGGATACATATTTCTATTAAATTGAGCTAAGGTTAAATTCAAATGATAAAAAGCAGAGCTTAGCTGTCAGATACAACATAAGCTTGAGAGTAGGAAACATTTTACATGCAATTTGCAACAAATGATAAAGAGTTCTTATATATGTAGCACTTCATTGTTTGAAAGGCCAAGTCTGTACACCGTTTTACAAACGTTCCTCATAAACAGACTGATAAAACATGGAAACAAATTATCTGTTCCTCTAAATCAATGGAAGAGTATCTAAGATTTAAAAAAATGTTTTAAAAAATCTAAAAAGGGGCTCAAGTCGCCCACAGATTTGTCTACTTTGTATTAAAAAGTATTCACTGATCATCGACACCTTATCCAGCCCTCGCTTGTAGAATAAATAATAGAATAATTTTGTTTCCAAACCACTAAATTAAATCTAACTTAAATAACAACTTAAATAACAGTTGCTCCGTGTATTGGCTATTTCTGTTTTAAACAACAAGAAACCTCAAAAACCCTCTCAGAGAAACTAGTGTTCAAAAAAAGTCTTCTGCTTTGATCTGGCCTAGAAAAACTGTCTTTGAGGCAAGGACTTGCACGAGTGGGACTGCAGTGCAACACTCAGCCCACTGATTCCAGCGCTGTTTTAAAGAGCTGGCTGGGAGAGATGCCACTGGGAGAGCTCTGTTGGCTTGGGGAACTCGATGCTTCCCTGTCCCACTTACAGATGCTTCTCCAAGTTAACCCACCTATCTGGGTTTGTGGAACTGAAACTGGGGTTAGGGTTAGTGTAGATTTAGCAGTAATTCCAGTGACTTTAAGTAGTTACAATTTCCAAGTGCCCCGCCACATACTTGTGTGCCATTGCCATGGTGCTGCAAATGGAAGATAATCTGTACATTTGAATGCATGAAACTGGTTTGCATGTCTGTTTGTTTGCTGTACTTCATGCATCTGGTTGAATCCAGCTGTGTAAAGATTTGTAAATTTTCAATTAATTTTAAATAAAATCAGTGCTTTTCTTAAATTTAGCCAATTAGCTTTGAAATTTAGATTTTTCAGTCAAAGTAAAAAAATAAAAATACTCCATAAAAAAATGCAACAACCTGTTTCTAGTTCTTTCTGAAAATTAGTCTGTGAAGCCTTCCTTCCCACATTCTTCAAATCACTCTCCCAGCTGTGGCATTCATCCACAGCTCTTTTCATTTCCTACATAACTTTGATTTCTTTCAGATAACAGCTTAGGCATTTCAGAAATGACCTGTTGAGAGGGAGAAGTCTGCTGATATCTCAACAGGTGCTATTCAACATTTGAGGTGTATGTGTTCGGCTAAACAGGAGCCTATGTGGTTTGTGCATCGTTATACAAATTATAAGACACACTAAAAAAAGTTGAGTGACTGCAGTACAAAGAATAAATAAATAAATATGTTCAGGTTTATATGAAGCTAATATCTCCATCAAGCTAGTCCCATTGTGTGCCAGCACATAGTGCCTCAAAGCACAGGACTGACCAGACCAACAATAGTTGCTCAGCACCCACACAACTTGTCAAATATCATCTGATTCTTGAAAATTAGACTGAAAAGTTGCCATTTTGACATAGTGGGGAAAACTTGGCATACATTACTGAAGTTTATCTAAAAAAATAATTGAATGGGAACTTTAGAAGTTGATCCAAAATGACAAGGAATGCTTCATCACTGTGCAAAGTTAGAGACAACAACAGTCAAATTTAAAGCAGGTATAATTTATTGGTTTTATATCAGTGTAGTCACTACACTTTCTCACAGCATGTGCCACCGGCAGATGGAATGATGGATGATATTGAGACTGAAAGACGGCACAGAAACAGCAGCAGCTCAGGAACAAGCCTGTCAGTAAAGCATGTGCTGAGTATGGCCTAGAAATCACAAGGTCAAAATGAAATGTGCCCCCTAGGGTGGTTGAGAATGACCAAGCTAAGATCATGTGGGACTTCCAGATAGAGATGGGCAAACTGGTGATGGCACTTAGGGCAAGTGGTTCCAGCAGATCCCATCGACAACATCTGAGATCTCTGTCCAGAACACTGCAGTCCTGGGAACAGCTAAGATGCTATGCAGCACCCTCAAGCTCCCGGGCCTCTGGTAGAGGACCCGAGCTTGAACAATAAAGACTTCCCACAGCCAAGTTTGTTTTTTGTTTTACATACACACACTAATGCACCACCAATGCACAGGAGTTTGCAGTCTTACCTGGCAGTAAATATGAACCAAGTACACCAGCTCCTTAGATTCATAGCCATTCCGCGTCACTTCGCTTTGTTCATCGCCAAGGGACAGCTGAAAAACAAAGAGAAGGTCTGAGGCATTCGATGAGCATAACATGGGTTACTTCAAGCAACTGTGGTTCTTTAAATATGATTAAAAAGTATTGGTTTATCTTGCCTTGTTTTATCATATGCATCTCTGCCTGACATATGTGACAAACGCAGGCTCATGAATGGTTTCAGGAGTAGTTTTGTGGGCTTGGGCCATATCAAAGTGCCATCCACACACAAACTTGTAATAGTAGACCTCGGTCCTCAGTTAACGGAAGTCAGTTCATTTCTTTTTCTAACGTTACATCTTTCTCTACAGAGAACTGCTTTGGCATGATGAACTACAGAAGCACCAGTGACCTGCTGAGCTACACTCAAGGCTCTGCCCCATATATTAGGATGGCCGACCAGCCCCTCCATACTTATTCTAAGCACGTTTTTCGGTGACCAAGCAAGTAGAGAAGTTTTGTTGAAATGCTTCACTCTCTTATCAAAAAAAAACAGGGATTCATTAATGCTTGGTTACCAGGGTAACCCCAGTTCTCTGAAGACCCAGCTCCACTTGCATGACCAGTCATGGACGCTCTACTACCACTATGCCTGTTTAATATACACACCAGTCACTTCAAGAACACTCCCTCATTTCTTAAAGAACAAAGGACATTGTTTGCATTGCATGAAAACACACAGATCTATGGACATCTGTCTGAACGTGACCCACAGCTGATGGACTTTTTTGTGGTTGAGCATCCACTCCCCGTACAGTGGTTTCCCTCTGGAGAGCAAATCTGCTCTGGTGTTCAACACACCAGGAACATGAGTCGGCAGGAGGTGCTTGCTGCTCCACATAATCAGGCAGAAAGAAAGCTTGTGTAATGTCACGAAACAAGTGCATCCCTGACAGTTTATATACACCACCACTGTTGCATTCTGTCCTGACCGAGACATGACAATTTTTCAGGAGCAGCAAGAAATAGAGACCATGGTTCCCTTGGGAAACAGAGCAATGTGCAGGAAAATTTTCTTCATGCAACCTCTCGATAGAAAACCCTGAAAAGAAACTGTTCATTTCAAGGTCCAGATATTTAATATTCAGAGTGGGAGACGGCACACTCTTGATACAATTGATGATGAAAATCAAGCCAGACAGGCTGCATAATAGTGCCTGGGTGTTTTTCTCCAGTGCCTCTTCACACATACTAGAAAATCTTTCAAATATACAAACACACTGAGCCCTGCCGCCTGCCAAGGGTTCAGAGTTGCCTTAACATACTTGGAGAAAACCCCAAGGGTGAGTGCCAGTCTGAAAAAGAGGGTCTGCTATTCTTAGACTATGCCCTAAAGGGCATTCAAAATTATGAATTTGTATTTGCTGAAGTGACAATTGAGGGAACATAAATCCATTTAGGTATCCATTCATTATCTTTTCCAGTGCATTGCTTCCTGCCCTTCAGCCTACAAGAGAAGAAACTTTGCTGTCCAAAGCCCTTTCAGCTCCCCCTGCACCCAATGAACATGCCGTGCTATTGAAACTGGATGGTTTCATTGCAAACTGTAACCTCTGGCAATGCATGTCATGCTCTATGGTCCAGGACCACTCTAATGATCTTCACAGGAAAGAAAGTGAGTACCTGGTGTGGAACCAGGGGCTATTATAAAAGGGGGAGGGGGATCCCATGTCCTTGAAGTGATTGGTCTGTTTTAGAAAGATGTGGTGGTAGTGGAGCTTCTGTTATTGGTTACGTCACAAGGTGCTTCCCATAGTGAGATACCGAGTGTGGTTGCAAAGAGAACCAGAGGTTCTTTTTCAGTGTTTCTTTATGGGAATGTAGCTCACTCCTGGATTGCGTCAGCAGTCCTAAAGCTAAGCTCCAGCACTTCTCAGGATCTCAAGCTGAACCCGAGATACAACATCTGTCAGACAAATTCAAACAATTGATGTAAATTATGATCCTGGAAATAAAAGGATATAATGAAAATTAAAGTTATGAGCTCCAAGTGAACAGAGGCAACGGCCAAACATGCTGATGGAATATAGTAGGTGCTCGCTAAGAGCAAAGTACTCTATTGGGGTGATATGGTACTATCAGGTAGCCAAATATCTTATAGGAGGTAAATTTGCAAAAATCACATGAAAAGTGTGTAAGAACAGCCTAACACTAGAAACCAAAATTATAGCACATGTTGTCATATCATCTGGCACTAGGTCTTGTATGCAGAGACACCTCATAATTGGGGTCTTCCAGTGCACATTGCCACTATGACATAATTTGCGTAGCCATGGTGACAGGTTGCCATCCCACCAGTCTATTCTGAGGCAGGGAAGACTGGTTGAACAGATTTAATTGTTCAAAACCGCACGTCTTTGTGTTCAACATACTGTTATTGTCTCTTCTTTGATACTAGCCATTTAATGAAACAGCCTCATGTGGTTTCCCAATCCCTCTTTTATACCAGTGATACAAAGAAAAGTTGAACGGGTGTTTTAATCTTGCATTATATAAGAGCTGGTGCTTTTGAACCTGCTCTATTTCCCATAGGAGAAGCTATCGTGTCAGATAGTTGTGCTAATGTTTGCAATCACTGGCTCCACTGCAGAGATTCAGGAAGTTCAGAACTTAAAACAGCATTTTCAGGGCAGCCCATCCATTCATCTATGAATCATTTGTCTCCACGTCAGAATAAAAATAAATACAGAACATAAAGAATGAATATATATTCATTACGTTCTGTACTTGCAAAGGTGAATGAATACCAGGTCAATGCCATTATGTGTCACTTCTATTCTCCCCAAATCTATGCCTGGTCTTTGGTTGCCAGTCTACTGCAGGGAGGTTTGGTTGCTGATTTATTGATAGGAATTAGTTGTACTACTGAGAAAACTGAAAAAGTTTGCAGACACTCTTATTTTGAATAAAAAAGTGATTACATTTTGTAAAATACAAATAAAAAAAACACATTTTTAACTTTTGTATTGTTTAACTGTGAAATTGTGAAAGAGTAAGTGACCCGCTCATGATTTGCTGCATCATTATGTTAGATCTGCGTTTTGTGTTAACACAAACAAATGTTCTGCTTTCACAACAGCAGACATAAAAACTGAGATCGAGGGTATTTATGTGCTGTGTGGGTCCACTAAACAGAGCCTGTCGGAACAATGTCATTGTGCCAGTGAGGGGGGCGAAAACACATGGAAGTGTTCTGGATCCCATTAAAGCAAGTTTGATTTAATAAAGTTGTTGAATATTGACTGGTCAGCCTCGAAAGAGGGAAACAGAAGACAGGAAACAGCCAAGGTTAGCTGGTTAGCGCCACTTAACTTTCAAAATAAAAGCAAGGGAATTGTTTACAAGTAAAGCATTGAATAGGATAAAAGCGAATAAAACAAAAACAAATTGAACTGTACTTGGAAGTTAATACCCAAAAACACAGCGATGCACTTTTGGAACAAGTCCACAGGAGAAAGACGTCCCAAAAGTGGATGGGACGTGGAGAAAATTTCAACTGTTTTTTAAAAAAAAATCTACTAAAAGTGTTCATGTTAACATCAGCATTTAATGTTTTTCATGATAGTAAAGTAAAATGCTACCTTCGATTAACCTGTTAACATCAGGGAGTCAGAACTAAACAAAAGAAGAGTATTTCTGTCAATACTTTTGATCTTGGATTGTTAGCATTGATTAGCATGATTCAATATCATGTAAAAATACAACTCAAGTGAAAAACAGCAACAAAAATCTAGAGAAGAGGTGGTGATGGGCACAAAAAGAGAGATTGCGGGTACCCAAAGACAAAGAAGGCTGCATGCAACTGTTACAGTAAAACCAATAGATGTCAGTAGTTAATCCTAGTTACAGTGGCTGCTGTAGGACCAACAGCTCTGGCTGACAACAACGGGAATCAATGAGCTCGTTTACGCACATTTTCGTATGTTTGAACCTGACTTCAGTTCAGGAGATCAGGCTTGAGGTGAGGAGGAGGAAGAGGATGACAATTTATCCAAAAACTGGTCACGTTCTCCTTTTCCTTTGTGTTTTCTCTGCTTTAGTTAAGGAAAGCCTCCTCAGATGATAAAGCATAGATATGATCCTATATGTTTTGAGTCAGACAATGCAGAATCTGGCTAATCACCTGGCCTCACAGAAATCATCTGAGGCTGATGCAAGTTTTGGTTTTCCAGGTATTAGGAAATACTTAGTTTGCTAAGTAATAAATTGGCAAAGTTATCACGAACTGGGCTGATGGTGTAAAAATGAATGGCGTGTCACCGGCTGCTCACACTGCTTAAAAACACACAAACAACAACAAAAACAACATAAAAACCCATCTAAAGTCCAGCTGCTCAGTGGTGACTGGACCAGGGCGAGACGTGGTATTGATCTACTGGCTTTTAAAAAGTATTTTGGTCTGGACTGCACACATGGACCAATCGATAAAACAGGCTGTTATCAACTTAGAACTAGGACACTAGTGTCACCAGTATGACTGTATCGTCTAACCTGACAATGTTTTTAGTGTTTATAAATGATTCATCAATGTCATTATCAAAGTATTCTTTATTTTGAAGATTTGTTTTTTTCATGATCTGTTGATCAGAATCTGACAAAAAACAGAAAATGCAGGAAGTGTGAAAGCACTGCTGCAAATTTAAAAGCCGCCTTTTGGATAAGTTCAGTTTACTTGATGGAGGTTCTACTTCCTTAGAAGTGGCAGTTATACATATGAGGTCATTCTTTATCCTATCCAACCCCATAATACTGCTCCATGCAGTCTTTTGTCTTAGTGACTTTTATGTGACTGTTACTGTCAGGGTTTGTTTGGTAAAGTTGTTTCTCAGCAATAAAAAGGAAAGACATGAGGTCATTCAATCCATCAGGTACTGGCTTTTTAAACAAAAGCCATTTTGTCTGGTTTCTGGCTTCTTTCAGTTTTTGTGTATTTTGCGTTCACTGTTTATTTCAATTTATTGCTGTGCTTGTATGTATTTGTTATTACTGATTGCTGTGTATAAGCCAAATTGCC